CTGGTGTACAAGAAGTTTTAGCTGGTCTGTCATCTTATATATTCATTCCCCTTATCTAGAGTGAGTCATTTCTGTAGGAAGCACTGGTTTCTTCTTGAGAGAAATGATATTTCAAGACCATCATCTGGGCATGTGGAATGCCCTTTGCCACTTGGTTAGTCATTGTTCTAGGTATTTTCTTTTTTTTTTTTTAAACATATTTTATTGATTTTTTTACAGAGAGGAAGGGAGAGAGATAGAGAGAGTTAGAAACATCGATGAGAGAGAAACATCGATCAGCTGCCTCCTGCACACCTCCTACTGGGGATGTGCCCGCAACCCAGGTACATGCCCTTGACCGGAATCGAACCTGGGACCCTTCAGTCCGCAGGCCGACGCTCTATCCACTGAGCCAAACCGGTTTTGGCATGTTCTAGGTATTTTCCATGAAGCTAGGAAATATATATTTATTGAAGGTAAATTTCTTCATAATTTCATATTGATACTTCAAATTCAAAATCACAGAGTTTTACTTAACCTCTTCTTTATTAGGCCTGTATCTCCTTTCTCCCACACTTAAAAATCCTAATTTTCAAGGATACAGTTTAGACTTAGAAAATAAGTCTTAGAAAATCAGAAAGTGAATATTGCATAATTGTTTGTTTTGAATTTCATATTGCTCTCACCACTGTTTTAGCTTACATGAAATACAGATTCTCTTTGTCCTGTTTTCCTCTTCAGGGCTTACATTGTTAACAATATTTGTTGTCACCATCTTTCAAATCCTTTCATTCCTTTTGATTTTTTATGATTTTTTATTTTCTATCTTCTACTTTTTAATGCATAACCTTCATGTGATTGCCGCCTATGTTTCTTCTCATTTAGTCTTCATTTTAGATTTTTTTCTTTCATCTTTAATTATTTCTTGAGTTCCATATCTTAGATTTTCTATTAATTTTGATTTATGTTGTTCTTTCATGTTTCGTGTCATTATCTTTTCGCTTGTTTTGAAATAGTATAATTATATCTTTGATCTTTTTTGGTGGGGAATGTCTTTCTGACATGTTTTCTTTATGGGGATATTATTTTGTTCTTTATTCTCTTTTTTATTATAATAAGTTGATGTGGAATTTGACCTCTTATTGTTGTTCATTTTATATGAGGTTAGCTTTTTTTTCCTGAAAATTTAAATCGAGAATGGCTTCAAAACTTTATAGTTTTCTCTTCCGTTATTTTTGTGTAACATTCAAAAGTATGGTTGTTTGTTTTCTGAAATTTTCTGAATTTATTTCCCCTCCCACATTATTCTAGACCTTTTCCATCTATGTCTCTTAGATGCATCCTCTGTTGAATTTTTTTTAAAATATATTTTATTGATTTTTTACAGAGAGGAAGGGAGAGAGATAGAGAGTTAGAAACATCGACGAGAGAGAAACATCGATCAGCTGCCTCTTGCACACTCCTACTGGGATGTGCCCGCAACCAAGGTACATGCCCTTGACCGGAATCGAACCTGGGACCCTTCAGTCCGCAGGCTGACGCTCTATCCACTGAGCCAAACCGGTTTTGGCCTCTGTTGAATTTTGATTCCACTTCCAGGATTGTCTTTTCTGTGTGGGATTCTTCCCTGGAAAGGAGCCTGCTGGATCTGTTTAGAGATTTCGTAGGGGTCTGGATTACTTCTGCTCATTCATTCTTTTTCATCAATGATCCTTTGCACACATTTAATAATCAAGAGTGGAAAACACTCCAGGTTTCAGCTGCTATTCTCAAACTAGCCTTCTGGGCTTCCCCGTGAATTGCTGTTGGTTATTTCGGGTTCTTCTGTCTCCAGGTTCTTCAGACACTCCCCCACTGCTTTATTCTTCTCCCTCCTGCCCAGAGCCTCGCTGGGAGTATTACGGCATGTAGTTTAGTTGTCTCTTCTGGATTTATTTTCTAGTTCTATAAGAAGATCTGGAGATGGTGGAAACTATGCCGCCACTACCACCATCTTTCCACAATGCCTCCCAATGTTCCAGTTTTAACCTTTCTAGACAACACGCACAGAGAGATGGCCGTGACAGCTTCGTATGCTGGTTAACAGAAAGGAAGGCAAAATAACCAATACTGCAGCTTCTTGGTGAGAAATGAAAAAAAAGAAGCTCCCGCAATTCTGGTTGGGAGCCCCCTCAGCAAGGAACCTGCGGTTTTATTCTTAATTTCATTTATTTTCAGTGCTTTAAGTCTTGTGGAGTTTGATTTTACTGTTCAGAAACATGCCTGCTGCTGAGAAACACGACTGTTGCCTTTGAGCCTGGGTTGTGTGTACTCTTGCTGTTTCATAGCATCCTTAGTCGGGCCATGTTCTTTGAAGTCAGGCTTTGAAATATTTTTAAAACGTGTCTTGTTACCATGTAGTATCTGTTTGGATTCCATCTGGCTTTGCTTTCTTATGATGCTTGTTCTTTTTACGACAGGAGAACGGTAGCCTGGGCTCTTTGTCAACAAGCATCTTTTTATGTCCTTTGTGGTTATGCTGAGAATAAAATGTAAGATAGAATCCTTTCCCTGAGGAGGTGTAGTTCATCTCACCTGTCTTTTGGACTGATTCAGGAAGCAAGGGAGCTAGTTCCTTGCAGACTCTTTTCCCCATTCACTGCAACCCAAATTCCAAGTTACTTAAGCATATGTCATAGTTGATGCTGTTGAAAATGTTGTGCTGATTAAACATAACTAATCTTTGACTTACAGTCCTGATTTGTTTTGGAGTTTAATTTTATTTCCAGTTTCCAAGGTGTATAAATGAAAGTCTGGATTAATCCACGCAGGTTCTCATCAACTTGAAGAATGCATTTGTTCTAAGTTGTCTAAATTGCTACCCATGGTTACTCAGAGTTGCCGAGACATGAAGGTCTCCCTCCCGCAATGTGTTTAAGATAGCAGCCAGGGCGATTTGTAGCATCTTTCTAAGTGTACTTTCTACCACTTAAATTTTGTAAAAAAACAGCAATGGCAACTCTATAACTTGATATTTTAGCCTATTTTATTTTTGTAATATAACTCCTTTGATGGTTCCTAACCTGAAATTTATTTTCTTGCAATTTACCAAACGAATGACTTCTTTCAAAACAGGAATTAAAAATGGCCAGTTAGGGCTATCGATGAACCATTTATAGATTTAGGACTATTGCTTTCCTCCCAGTAGAGTGATTGTGAAGAATAGTTTGGGGATCACTGCAAAGACCAGGTCCCCACTTTGTAGTATGTAGGTGTGTGACATTGGGCAGTTTTCAGAACTTCTCTAGGTGGCTATCTCCTCATGTGTAAAATGTGGTAGTAATGGCCCCTGTGCTCTGGAGTGATTTCAGATATCTTGATCTTACCCAGAACTAACTTTTGGAAATGTGATTCTGAGGCCGACTCTGTGTGAAAAAGTAGGAATAGTTTGAAAAGTGGCTGTTATGTGTATGTATCTGTGTGTGTCTTTAGACCAGTATATATAAGATATATTTGCTGGTCTAAAATTAGTCAATAACGGGCTAATACGGGAACTGTGAAACTCCCCAGAGATCAAGAGCTACAAGTCTTCTTCCTGCCCTAAAATAAAGGAGTAACTGTATTATGTTAGGCCTTGTAAAAATCAATGGTTCTAAGCTTTTTATAAAACCTGGGTAGCCTGGGAATGCCCTGGGACCTTCCCCATGATGCCCTCATCAGGGTTATCCTTTTTAGGTGCCACTACACATCCGTACCTTCTCCTTCCTTCTCTAGCATACCCGCTATGTAAAAAGGTGCTTGCCCTGGGACCCTATCCAGGATGTGAGGTGCTAATCATATTAGCCAAATTTTTAACCACAACTATTACATATCTTTAATAATTTCACAGACAGTTTCTGAATATGCTTAGAAAACTAAAAGGTGCTTTTTTAAAATTTTGAATTTATTGGGGGTGACATTGGTTAATAGAATTATGTAGTTTTAAATAGGAGAAAGATAAATATCACATGATGTCACTCATTTGTGGAATATAATAAACAACATAAACTGATGAACATAAATAGATCCAGAGAAGCATCGAACAGACCTGTCAAACATCAGAGGGAAGGCGCGGTGTAGGGGTGGTAAGAGATCAACCAAAGGACTTGTATGCATGCATATGAGCATAACCCGTGGACACAGGCATGGGGTGAGGACATGTGCGGGGAGTGTGGGCGTGGCCTGGAGAGGTCAATGGGGAAAAAGGAGACATATGTAATACTATATGTAATACTTTAAACAATAAAGGATTAAAAACAAACAAACAAACAAACAACAAAATAAAGTGCCTATGCATAGAGTATAAAATAGTTTTTGAGTGTACAATTCTATGATACATCATCTGTATATTGCATTGTGTGCTCACCCCCCAAAGTCGTAGGAATTGTCTCCAGCAAGCTAGGTGTGAGTAGAATATTTGATGCTGGTTTTGGGCCCATGTGGAGGTCTTGATTCATATCATGTTTGCTGATAATCACTTATTCACAAGAAGCACAAACATGATGTTGAAAATGACAAATCAGGTGAAGAATTTTTACCTTTATCTGATGTACAAAATTTGATTTTATTTCCTCAAGAAAAACAATTGTTTTAGCCCATATACTTCTCTATACTATTTTCAGTGCAAATAATTTTAGCTGGGTAAAATAAGCAAAAATAAATTTTCTCTATTTAGCTACGTACTTACATAGTAGTATATTTGTTTTCTATTATATAGTCTATTTGTTAATAATTAATTAATTGAGTGGACATAATATTTGATCAAAAAGTTAATAAAATATTTGAGCAAAGAATTAATGGTTGAGGATATTTTGTTTCATGTTTAGGTTCATGAGCAATAGATAAATATTTTAATAGCAAGTGCTCTGGTAAATCAGTTCCTCGCATAGAAACACAAACACTTCATGTGCAGTGCTGTGCTGATCATTAATGCCTGACATGTAATATGTAATGTTTGTTAAATGAACAGATAATTATTCTGAAAAACCTTATATGTGTTCCAGGACCTGATCTTCAGGTTTGTGTATCCAAAAAACCTACATGTTGCACCAGGAAGATGGAGGAAAGGTATCAAATTGCAGCTCGCCAAGATATGCAGCAGGCGCTTCAAGCATCCAGCTCTACATTAAAGTTTCTAATATCTCGAAATGCAGCTGTTTTTCAAGGTAAATTTATCTCGAGTTAGGAAACTAAGGACAAGCCTTGTTATGTAATCTGCCTGTTGTCATTTTATCAGTAAACTCAGCTGGGTTTCCTTCTCTGTCTTTGTATATTATTTTGGCATAAATGAGGTTTTAACTTTTTTGAACCTTCAAAAATTGTTTCTAAGGCCAAATCAATATATATATTTTGAGTTGGACTTAGGAAAACTGTTTTGTTAATGAAATGGTCCTTGGAAATATATGCCCTTCAGTGGGTCTTCCAGGTCCCCAATATTCTGACCCATGGATTTACTTCAATATGAATGGACATAATTATATTTTATTGAAATATTTGATAACATAAATCTCATTATCTTTAAGTGTGTAATTGTTTTTAAAAATCTGATTTGAAGAAATATTTGTCTAATAGTTCCCCTTGCAACCTCATGTGGTTCTCAGAACACCAGTATGATATATCAATGTGCAAACAAGTCTGATAAATAGTAAAATAGGAGCTATTAATTAGATGTTTAATGTTCAGCTAAGATCAGAACTCAACCTTAATTCAAACAATATGTTTATATATAAAATTAATGGGTTATGAAATTACAAGGCGCATTACAAAATAGATGACCTTTTCCTTATTTTAGTCATCTCCTCTATAAAATTCCTTATTACTGTAATAAAATAGCTTAATTTATTTTTCCTCTTATAAAGCATTAGCTATTCAGTATTTGATTGGAATGAAAATATTTATATTACACTGTTTTTCAAATAAATTTATTGCTTTTGTTCAATGCAAAATATAACTTCTGTTAGGATTTCTTTTTAATAAGTGTATTAATATAGATCTAAATAATTTGTGCTATGTTTATATACAGAACTAAATCACAAAGCTGATTAATTTTTAAAATTATACTATATATTAAATGAAATGAATACATAAATCAAGATAAAATTTGAATTAAAATGTAGTTCATGATTAATTGATGATTTTTTTGGTAGAAATTGTAAAATGTCAGATTTTAAGGTATTATTAATTTAGTGGTTCTTGTAGATATGTTAGAAAATAACCTTATTTCTGTTATGGGATTTAATCATGTACAGTTGTTGGAGGAAAGCATATTGATATGCTTTTTAAGCAAAGATTTGTGGTTTGAACTGGCTGAACTAGACACACACAGATAGCTATGTAGTGATTTTTTTCCTCATGAACATGATAGCAAATATAATAAGGAAAAATACATTTTAGAGATAAATAGACCAGTTTAGCCAGAGCAAGGAGTTGTAGATGGGAATAGTGGATCACATGCTTGAAAAGGTAAGCTGGACTCATGTGGAAAAAAACTTAAAACATCAACTTGATTTAGTTCTGTGAAAAAAGCCTTTGGTATTTTTTTCTTTTTCCCCCCTTTATTGAATAAGATATTACAAATGTGTCCTTATCCCCCCAATGTCCCCTCATCCCTCCAATCCTGCCCTCACCCTCACCCCCTGTTGTCCACATCCATCACTTGTGCTTATATGCATGCATACAAGTCCTTCGGTTGATCTTTCCCCCGCACCCCCATCCTATCCCGCTTTCCCTCTGAGTTTTGAGCATCTGATCGATGCTTCTCTGTCTCTACATCTGCATTATGCTAAGTGAAATAAGTCAGTCAGAAAAATATAAATATCACATTCTCTCACTCATTTGTGGATTATAATGAACAACGTAAACTGATGAACAAAAGCCTTTGGTATTTTGATAGGGATTACACTGAATCTGTAGATTGATTTGAGTAGCATGGGCATTTTAATGATGTTAATTCTTTTTGTCTGTGAGCATGGTATATGTTTCAATTTATTTGTGTCTTTAATTTCTTTCTTCATTTTTTACACTTCTTCAAGTACAGGTTTTTTACCTCATTGGTTAAATTTATTCCTAGTTATTTTATTCTTTTTGATGCAATTATAAATGGGATTGATTTCTTTATTTCTCTTTATAATAGTTGGTTATTGGTATATAAAAATGCAACTGATTTCTGAGTATTAATTTTATATCCTGCTACTTTTCTGAATTCATTTATCAGTTCTAATAAAGTTTTGGTGTAATCTTTAGGGTTCTCTCTATATATTATTGTCATCTGCAAATAATGACAGCTTAGTACTTCCTTTCCAATTTGGATGCCTTTTATTTCTTTTTCTTGTCTGATTTTGGTGGCTAGTCCTTTTCATACTTTGTTGAATAAAAGTGGTGAAAGTGGACATCCTTGTCTTGTTCCTGATCTTAAAAGAAAGCTATCGAAAATAGTATGGAGGTTCCTCAAAAACTTAAAAATAGAACTACCTAAGGATTCAGCAATTCCAGTTCTGGGTAGTTATCTGAAGAAATCTTAAATGCTAATTAGGAAAGATATATGCATCCCTGTGTTCATTACAGCATTATTTACAACTAGAGGCCTGATGCATGAAATTCGTGCCAGGGGCTCAGCCCTCGCAGCTGTGGTGGCTTGCCTCGGCCTTCGCAGCCCTGGCTTCGTCCAGAAGACGTCCAGTCTAATTAGCATATTATGCTTTTATTATTATAGATAGTCAAGATATGGAAGCTACCCAAGTGCCCATCAATAGACAATTGGATAAAGAAGATGAATACTAGCCATAAAATAGAATGAAATCTTACTATTTGGTACAGCATAGATGGACCTAGAGAGTATTATGCTAAGTGAAGTAAGTCAGTCAGAGAAAGATAAATACCATATGATTTACTTATATGTGGCATATAATGAACAAAATAAATGAAAAAGAAAAACAAAAATAAAGTCATAGATACAGAGAACAAGTTAATGGTCGCCAGATGGTAAGGGGGTTGGGTAATATGTGAAAAGGTGAAAGGGATCAAGAAGTACAAATTGTCAGTTATTAAAATGGTCATGAGATGTAAGTAAAGCATAGGGAGTAGAATATATATATATATATATATATATATATATATATATATATATATATATATTTATATATATGCCTAATATGCTAATTGTCCCTCAGACTGTTAGACCAGTTACTATGACATGCATTGACTACTAGGGGGCAGATGCTGTGACCGGTAGGTTAGCTTGCTGCTGGGGTCCGGCCGATCGGGACTGGACCAGATGGGCTGGACATTCCCTGGAGCCCTCCCATGGTCCCCCCCCCCAGTTGGCCTGTCCCTCCCCAGCCCTGATCGTATGCTGGTGGGGTCCCTCGGCCTGGCCTGCGCCCTCTCACAATCTGGGACCCCTTGGGGTGTGTTGGAGAGCTGGTTTCGACCCGACCCCAGCAGGTCAGGCCAAGGGACCCCCATGAACCAGTCCTCTAGTAATGTAATAATTGTCTATAGTGTACATTGGGTACTAGACTTATCAGGTGTTCACTTCATAAGGTATTAAATGTTTAATCACTGGTTGTACACCTGAAACTAATATAATGTGTGTCAACTGTAATTGAAAAATAAATTTTAAAGAATTAAAAAAATCATTAACTTGGGTTTGAGAGCGTCTTTAAAGATTTTTGAACAGGGAGCTTAATTATGATTTCTTCTCTTTTAATATGCAACCTAAATCCCTCAAGTAAGACTATATGACTGAAGAGAATCACTACAAAGCAAACCTAATTTTTTTTGGATAACAGTGTTAACTATCTAGGTGAAAGAAAGTGCCAACAGCTGCTAACACTTAGGCATTAATTCAATATTGGTGGAATATTTCTTCTGTCTTGAAAGATACTGTAGCAAACTTTTTACATATTCTTGGATAAATTGATTAAGATAGAGAAAATTGAGTTCAAAAGATTGGGAAAAACACAAGCCCTGATTACTTATTTACACTTTTAAGATGGGTTTAAGCTGCTGAAAGATTTTGTTGATATTGCTGTAAGTTTGGTGATAACTACCTAAATAGTAGAAATATATGGGGTTGTCTCTATCTACTAGAGTGGCAGATAATTTTATGTAAATTTAATTGTTTTTCTCTTTAAGAATTTGTATGTGCTGGATTCAAGAGGTTGAGTTTTGGTATTTATTTAAATATTAATCATAAAAATGAAAATGGGAGGGACTTTCTTAAATGTGATTTGTTATAATCAAATATTGTTTTCTCCCTTTGTGGAATGATGAGTTTTATTTGAGAATTATGAGAAGGCAAGACAAACTTAGAAAAAATTTGCCTAAAGTCTAATTTTACTGGAACAAATTCTCTTACAAGAAGAATATCTGTTTTTAATTTAATGAACAGAATAATAATTTTAGGCTTATTTTCATACAAACAAGTTTAAATATATATATGCTAAAAGTGATTTTAGAAATCACATTTACTCTTTGATAACTGAGCAGGGGCTACTTTATCAATAAGTAAAATGCCTTCCATCTATTTTCTGTGCAATCAAATATCTGGAAACAATTCAAAGTCATTACTTTTCTAAGATTAAAGAATCCAATCACATTTTATTGGGAAACAAGTCTAACTGAGAAAAATTTAATGGGGAAATCAGTTCACTTCTCAAACGATTTAAGTAGATTTGCTACATTTTGGATATTTTGATTTTTAAGTATTTCATTTATGTCTTCTACTTCAGCAATAAACTGGTTTTTTTAGTCATATTCTGGGTTATGAAAGACTTAGGGCTGGGATCCAGTATGGTCTCTTCTGTCATGGATCTTATGGATGCCCATGGAAATACATTTTTGAAGCAACCCTTTAGATTTTGCTGATGGGGATAATCACTTGGGTCTATAGATTTAGTGAGCCCCATATTTTTGTGAGATGAAGGGATTTTTTAGGGGAGAGAGGAAACAGTACTGGCAACTGGTGGGCGAGGAAACAAAGTTATCCTGTGTACAGTTCACATTCAATTTGGGATTCAGCACTGGATGATATATACCAGTGGGGTTGGCATCAGCCTGCTGTGACAACTCTTCCATTTTTTTCTTTTAAGAAATTTGTTGGTGTGGTGTGTTTTTTTAAAGTCATATTTCCTTAAACAGAACAACAAAACAAAAATTTGTTTTG